AATAAAACATTTTGACACATAAAATAAATACTGTATTTATGTTGCTTTAATAATGCTCTAATAAACATTACCGGTAATCAAATATTTTTATATTATATTATATTAATTTTTGTATAAAATTATTTAATATTCCACTCACTATTACTTTAATCAGAATATAAACCAATAAAACCTGGGTCTATTTACATTATATTTAGGATAGTAAATTGTGAAGTAGTTGTATTTTTGTTACAATAAACATATTTTATATAAAAATCCAATATATTTTGAGTGTACTTTGTGTTAGCTTTATTCTTTTATAATATTTCATTTAAATTATATAATTATTGTTATTCATATCTTAATATAAAAATTATTGTTCAGATTTTGATTTCAGTTAACAAACAATGCTAAAGAAAATATTCACTAAATTCCTAAATAATCCGTAAAAATTAACTAGTAAGATTTCATTTAAATTATTATATAAGTATTTTAAAAATAATATTATTTCAGTATCATGAATTTTTGTATTAAAATATATAACATATCCCAAATACTGAACTATTAATTTTTCCACGAAAATTAGTCTCAATTATTGTAAATCTCCAGTTTGAACAAGTTTAGATTTGGCAACCCTATTTTTTGACACTTTTTAGTTTCAATGATATTTTAGAAACTAGTAACTAACTGATATCAAGTTTATACTGTATTGTAGATTATTGTAAAACCTAATTAACTATACCTTAATTTATTGTGTTATGTGTACTACTAATCATCCATATTTATCAAGATATTAAAGTTGTCACATCTGTATTATATACTATTCATATAATTTATTAATAAATCTATTAATTCTTAATGGATTGAAATGATATTCTTATAGGAAGTGTAGAAAAGTCTCCAAGGACACAATAGACACGTAATTGTGTTATTAACTTAATATCTGATAACATGTACTGTCAAAACCTGCACTAAAAACATCAGATCAGTGATCAATAAGTTTTCAATTCGTATGATAATCTTATTGAAAGCACTAAACCAATAGTTTTGAGTTATCTCTACACCTGTAAACAGGTATCAGATAACAGGAGTCAACTAAAAAGTGCGGTCAAAAAGCACACAAAAGTGAACTCGTTGAAATTTGTATATAAGTCACATAATTTCATACAAAGAATATTGTTTTTGGTATTTATTATACTGTATTAACTCTTTAAGAGAAACCAAAAGATGCTAAAACTTGTATTAGTGTTGTCTCTCATCTCAATCCACAGCATAGGATCCGTTGACATCCCGACCCGACTGCTCAACAATGGACTGCATATTCCGATCGTGGGTTTCGGCGCAATGGGTATAACGGAACAGGCGGTCCGGGACGCCATCGACGCCGGCTATCGACATATCGACACTTCGCACAACTATTACACCGATGACCACAAGAATTTGTCGGAAGTCATAATCGGAAAGGTATTGAAGGATGTGTTCAAAGCGGGAAAAGTCAAGAGAGAGGAGCTCTTCATTGTCAGCAAACTTGAGGCCGAATACCACGAAAGGAGTCGAGTGTCGGTCGGCATTAAGGAAACCCTCACAAACCTGGGCCTCACATATCTGGACATGTATTTAGTGCATCACCCGGACTCTACTAAACCGGCTAATGTCAGTATCACTGAGACGTGGAACGGTATGATCGATGTCCTCCGAGCAAACCTCACCCGATCCATAGGTGTCTCCAATTTCAATGAACAACAAATCGACACAATCAGTGAATTAGGTGTCATTCCCGTCACTAACCAAGTGCTCAACAATCCATACATTATTCAAAAGAAACTGTTGGCCTATTCAGACACACACTACACAACGCTGACCGCGTGGTCACCCATAGGTGGGGCCCGTTATCCAGATCTACTCAAAGACCCCAAACTGATTGAGATTGCTAAGAAACATAACGTGAGTGCCGCTCAGGTAGCTCTCAAATACCAGGTCCAGAGGGGTGTCATTGTTATTCCCAAAGCAAATACACTGAAATATATTAAAGAAAATTTGGATTTATTTTCGTTTGAATTGACGGCACAAGACATCAAAGATGTTGAGGCACTCAATAAAGACAACTCCACTCTATACTGAAATTAATATTATTTTTGTTTAATTCAATCAAATAATTAAAAGAAAGTGTTTTTGATTTAATTAACAAAGAATTAAATAATGTTTACTGTGGTTTATAAAAATTTATAAATTTAGTAATTATATAAGTTAATAATTACATTTTATTTATTTATTATTTTAAAATTGCAAAGTAGTTTAGAAATCATATAACATAACATAAAAACACGAATAATTATAGCAACTATAACTTACTGACCAACTTGTGTATACAACAATGCAAACTGGACAGTACACACAATACCTTTCTGTTCAAAAGTTATTTTTCCAGAGTCCGTACAAACGATTTAAAAATGTTTTTCTATCAAATCAAATTAAATTTATGTTTTTATTCAATGAATCAGTAATTCTGTGATTTTCTCAGCAATCGCTCCATTCGTCACATCCATTGGATTCTCACATATAATTCGCTGCACTATTAGCTTTGCATTATTAGTCACATCACCCTGGTTCATTTACAATGTTTTATTAATTTTAATTTACTAGTAATTAATATAAACTAACTTACCATTAGCTCTGATAAGAAACAATTGTCATTCAATTGATCCCGGTGTTCAGCCTCTGTATCATTAGTCAGATTGTGTTCAATGGGTTTAATGACAACTAATTTAGTGCTGTTTTGCGACCATTTGTTTGAATTCATAGCCTTTGTATTGAGTCTATACTCCAAAAGGCATTCAATTCTCGCAAACATTATCTCCAAAATGTGTGTCAAATCTGTGGCCACGAGTCCTCTTCCGCCCAAACCAACCAATTCTTTGCCAATAATCGCAATCTTTGTCTTAATGTCTGACATATCTCTCAAACCTTTCATTACTTTATTGACGTATGAATCGGGGATTTGTTTTAACAGCGATTTAATCACAAATTTCAACACGAAATCGTCATTTAATTTGTTGTCACAATAAAAGTGCTTATAATTGATGGCATCGATAGCCACCGCTTTGTCGGCCATCCCTTTGACCACTAATTGGGTGCAAATGACGGCGCCATCCAAATGGCCGATCACTTCGTATGTGCCATCCATTGGCTCCAAATGTTTCAATAGATTGACATAATATTTGGTGATCTCTTCCTGAGTGGACAGTCGACTCACATCAGGCGTCCAATTGAGTCCAATGACCGGTCGGTTGGTCTGAAGGGCCCACTCCTCCCATGCCGTGAAGTTGAGCTCAAATGGCGGCAAAATATACAATCGTTTCCCGGTTTGGCATTTGTTTAATGCAATTGTCTTCTCATTAGAGATATTAAAGTTATACTTCAATAAGAAATCCGTGGACTGTCTCAGGGAATTGAGGTAAGGCTGAACAAGGTCAGTTTTGGTTTTTTCACTTTCCTTTAATATACCAACGGTTAAGCTTTTGATGTGATGTACCGTTAAATTCATTTTGTACTCTCTTTCCAACTCGTGCTGTAATTGTACGGAAAACATGGACTCCAACCCTATGTCAGCCAAAGTGGTGTCATTTGGGGTGACATTTGGGTCGATATTCATATCGCGCCAAATATTTCTTAGAAAGTTTTGTTGAGGAGTTCCCTCTTTTGTTTGCTTATTGACCCGAATCTGGAAATATATTTAAATAGTATTTCATATTTTGACTTATAGTTAACTAATACTAAAACATACATAAGAGGTGACAATCGGTGTATTAATTGCCAGCAATTTGTCCAAATTATCACAACACGAGTGAATCCGTTGTTTCCTCATTGATGTAAACCCTATGCCCTGATCCACACCAGCGATCACTCCTACGTCTCCAATGGGTCCGTACTGTACGGCCAGTCCGTGCAGACCATCCCTACGTCTCTCTTCGCAAATCCTTTCGCACAGAGAGTTCCCAAACCCATAGTTACTCTGACCTCCATTTCCTTTACCACATGACACCGACGAGAAGACCACAAAATAATCCAATTTGTAGGCCAACCGTCGACTCAGTTGATCCAAATGTGCGAAAATCTTGTGTTTTATGTCAACCGTTGAGCAAAAGTCTTCAAAAGTGTGTCTTTCAAACAATTCATTATTCAAAGCGAGTGCCAAATGAAATACCCCTCCAATGGGTCCCAACTCTTTGGCCTCATTTAGCAGTCGTTGTGTGCCTTCAATAGTCATCCCATTGGCCGTCGAGACCAACAAATTGAGAGAAAGATTTTTATTACTTTTGTAAACATCTTTCAAACGATTGATTATAAACTTCTGGTAATCAGTCCTAATCCCAGACCTGGAAGTGACCACAAATTTTCGACCCCCTCTGTAGTGCATCCATTGGATGAGCTCGAGTCCAAAGCCTCCCAAACCTCCGGTTATTATATAGGCTTTGTTTGGATCGAAGAAAGTCTTAACAGTTGTCCTCATTTTCATCGTCCCATTCATTGCCAGAAGAGGTGTTCTGACGGTCTCTTCGTCTCTGAATTTAATGATTAGTCTTCCGATGTGTTTACCGGTTGTCATACTATGGAAAGCCTTAACTGCCTCTTCAGGCTTGAAAACTGTTGTTTTGATANCTTTGTTTGGATCGAAGAAAGTCTTAACAGTTGTCCTCATTTTCATCGTCCCATTCATTGCCAGAAGAGGTGTTCTGACGGTCTCTTCGTCTCTGAATTTAATGATTAGTCTTCCGATGTGTTTACCGGTTGTCATACTATAGAAAGCCTTAACTGCCTCTTCAGGCTTGAAAACTGTTGCTTTGATTGGTTTTATTAAGCCATTACTACAATTACCCTGCACCCATTTGTTAAATCTGCACATAAACTGAATATTGTGAACATATAACAAATCCAATGCCACTGGAATTAATTGAACGCCTCGTGTAAAGCAATGCATTCCGAGACTCTTATTGTCATACAAATCAGATTTACCAATCTCTACAATACGACCATGGTCACCTACACACTCATAGGTTGCATCCAATTTCTCACCCGATAATGAGTTGATAACAATATCAACACCTTTTCCATCAGTTATTCTCATTATCTCATCCTTAAAGAGAATATCTCTTGAGTTGAATATTCTGTTCTCCGGAATATTGCACTCATTCTTCAGAAAAGTTATCTTATCTTCAGTGCCGACCGTAACGTATATATCGCACCCGAAATATTGGCAAATATTGAGAGCCGCCTGACCCACACCTCCCGCTCCCGAATGAATCAAAACACTTTCACCTAGATTATATATTAGTAAATGTCAGATTATTAAACAAATAAGACCATTACCTTGTTGCAATTGTGCTCTTTCAATGAGTCCGTAATACAAAGTCATATAAGTGTTAAGTATGGAGACGGCGTCGTCCATAGACCAGTGCTCGGGAATGGCAGTCATATAGGGCTCTGCGGCGTAAATGGATGTCGAGAAACACCGATTCCTGACATCCATTCCCATAACCCTCTCTCCCGTATCGCTTCTCCTGCCGGCGAACTCGAAACCAATGGGACAGTCAGTCAATGAACTGTCAATTGGAAGACGACCTCAAATATCATACAAAATATAATTATTACTCAATTTATTTGAGATAATCAACAAAATATTTAATAAATTAATTATTAGTTAAATGATATATTGAATCAAAATATCCATAAAAAATTTAAATTTCATTATTTATACAATATATACATAAATTATTATAGCATACAGTATTCTTGCCTATTAGCTTATATTTTAATGATAAACGTAATTACCTTCAACTATCAAAATATCACGAAATAATATCCCGGAGCTATAAATATTAACTTTTGTTTTTTGACTTTTATTTCCATTTATGTCGTAATAATCTCTGAAAGGACTTAATCTTCTCGAGTCATACCATTGAAGTCCAGATATACCTCTGGTTTGGCCCAAATTGAGATAATATTCATTGGAAACAGTTTTGTCGTAATTATCCGCAAGTCTTAAATGTCTATAAGTTCCCACTTTTCCCTCTTTCACGACATTTGCCATTAAATTGTTGCCCAATATATCGCTATATGGGCTGACATTAAAGTCTATGTTAGTTTGGTTACCAGTGCCCTCGCAATTGAAAATATATCGCAGTCTATCCCCTCCCGGTTCAAATCGGAGACAATTGACTAAACCTATGATCCCATTAAGGGATGAGTCGGAAGCGATTAGCCATATATTGTCCGTCGGATTGTCCTCTTCTTTAGCAGCGATTAGTTTTTGCTTTAAAACTCCAAACCATTGCTTATAATCGCCGCTAATATTAATGATTTGGGTTTCAGTAGGAATTCGAGGCATTCCTTCAATCTTTCGGAAAAGTATAGCTTTGGTTGCGATTGAATCACATTTTTGGCAAATAATACGAAAACCCATTTCAACACATTTTGCTGAAAACATTTTGATACGACTTTCCAGATCTGAATCATTTACATGTGTTTTACTATTCAATGAATTCAATGCAATCTCCGGATCCGTAAACTTATATCGAAATACAGTTAATAGGAATCCATTGGATTGTATGGATTCATACAATTGCCGGATATGTTTTCCCAAATTTAATTTCCATAAGTCTTGTGTATCTCTTAATATAACCAGATATGAAGACTTTAATGGCATATCATTTCTTTCATCCCATTCCACTGCAAAATTTCTAAACTCTTCATCAGTTTGTTGTAGATTTTTGACAATAAGATTATAATTAGCATTAAGTGTTTGAATATGAAAATCCATAATGTATTTGATAACATGTTTAGCCACCAATGCATTACTTAAATTAATTTCCGTAACCATTATTTCATTAATAAAGACATTTTCGCAGACAATGTCTACTAATGTTCGCAACAGTCGTTCATTCAATGAGATATCGTTTATGATATCAATTGACATATCATTGGTTGCACTCATGAGAAATGTATCTTGGTTCATATTCTTTTCAATATTTTCATTTTGTTTTAGTTTCCATTGATTTGAAAACATTTCATTGAAAATATCAAACATTATATGATTTTTATAACTTGTTTCTCGATATTTGTTGATTATATCGCCATTTATTGAATCGTATTTGAAATTGCATTTTATTTGTGTTAATCCCAATTTTTGAATGTCCATGGCCATATACTTGCAAACCTAATCAATAAATAATTAACTCAAATAAATTTAACAAAAATATAATAATAAAAGTAAATTACATCCAAATATTCATTTAAAGTCTTTTTATGGTTTTCATCGATAGCTTCCATACAATGATTGGCACAGAATTCATAGGAATCTAACGCTAACTCTAATGAATCACTTTTTCGAGATTTTGTGTGAAATATGAATCCCTCCATTTCAACACCAAATGTCACCAAATGTTTGCATTTTTCGTTATAATAGAAGGGAATGTTAACCGAAATATTGTCTAAATTATCTCCAATTTTATCATATGAGACATCATTTGCGTCCAATGACTGCATAGTTTTATCTTCCATCCCTTTCCTCCCATTCATTGCCAACTCGTGATCACCAAACTTAGTGACCGGACTTTGTCGAGACGTTTGTATAACTTTAAACAGTTCCCGGGGGTCTATACGCATACGTTTCATCATAACCGGCACCCGGAGCTGTCGGGAGGGCGCCCACAGATTCATTAATTGTATAAATGCGTCCAAAAATGTAACTAAATTTCCGGTCCATTCGTTAGTGCCGTATATGTCGTGAAAATTATTTGTTTGTATTTTTTGCAATACTTGAAATTCTTTGCCGTAATCATAGCCCAAAACCTTTAACTCTACGTAAATGTCATCCCTTTCCAGCCTATACTCCATGGTTTGAGTATTTTGTTGGGCGATGTGTTTCATGCAATCCTGTTGTGTGAGTACCCGACTGTCATCACCCGGTGCTCGCATTTTCCCGGAAACGCATTCGTTGCTGTTTTCCAATATTATAAACTTGTCTATAGTTTTGAAAAAGTATTATATTATATAAAAATCATTGCTTTTGATAGTATACCTGATTTTGAATTATATTTGACTGTGATTTCAGTTTTCATTGTTTGCGACAAATATACGGGTCTTTTGAAGTGAATGTCTTCAAACACAACCGCAGTCTTAGTCCACACTTTGCCAACACTGGCCGCAAGCATACGGT